TGAAAAACAATAGGTTATATTAAAAAAATTTGTTTTCAAGGTTGTACCAAATCACTCAAATTTCTTATGATAAATGGTTGAGACTCACAACATTTTAATAATTTTAAAAGATGGGACTTAATGTTAAGATGATAACCTATTGTTGTTTTAAAGGTATCATGAATGGTTGAAATTAAACAACTCAAATAGTGGATTGTCTAAACAATGTGCACATAAAGTTTCATCAAATATTAGATTTATAATAGAAAAATAATGGGTTATCAAAATAATGTGCTTTCTATGTTTAATGAAATGACTCAAATTTCTTAGGATGAATGGCTGAGGTTTATAAAACTATTAATTGCATGATTGGAGCAAAAAGTAATGTTTTAATAATCTTGAAATGTGTAATTTAAATCTCAAGATGAAACATAGAGTTGTGTTTTTTTTTTTTGGTCAAGCCCAAAGTATCCACCATCAGTAGGAATGATTAATCATCTCGTATCGTAGACTTTCTAAAAGGGTTTAGTACGGGCCATGAAACCCTCTTCATATACACCTCTAGGGATCGAACCCTCTAGCCTAAGGAACCCAGTTAAGTGCTAGGCTTCACCACTAAACATATAGTTGTTTTTGAGGTCATGCAAATGGTTGAGATTAGATAACTAAAGCAGTATAATTTTGAAAGCAATACTAGCTAGCCAGCATATCCCCAATGCAGGATGTAAAGAAATTGGTATGAACATAAATATAATTGATTTTATACAACACAACCAAAATAATTAAGTGCCTTCATACCTGATATATTTTCCATTTGGCCTTTCAATCATTTTCACTTACACCACTAGCTTACTTTCTTTATTCCAAATAAATTAGGAGTCTATTTAACTAATATATATATCGATAAAATTAACAAACTCTATGGAAAAAATTGAAAATGAATATTGTAGTTCATTGCAATTTTTGATTTCCAAACATGAGATTATGACTTTGACAAACTTAATGAAGTATATGGCCACTGGTATATCATCTGCCTTTCTTCTGAGGTTTTTCACTCATAATTATGATCTTATTTGCTTGATTTGAAGAAAGAATCCATAACATTATTCATGGCTAGCTTACTTTTTGAAACATTTTTGTTCATACGAAGGAAATATATATATATATATATATATATATATACATCTCAATAGATGGAACTCCAGCCACTATCTTCAATAATATATCAACAAAGGAAAAGATTGATAATTAATTAAGCAACAAAACTATTGCTTTCACAATTGGTACTATTAACTGCTCAAAGTGATAATATATAGCATAATATTCTGAATTGAAATCCCTTTTGAATTTATTGATCAATTTAAAGATGACTCTGATGAGGTTCAAATGGCTGTTTATGTGCCTTTATCTTTGAAGGCTTAAGTAGAAGCTTGTTGGCTTATGTTTTCCCATATGAATCTCTTGTCCCCCGTATAGGTGATCCCATTTTCGTACCAACTCACAATATACTTATTGGGCCTTGCATATTAACAAGCTAAAATCATTAAAGTGTTTATGCAAATGGGTATAGTTTGTGTAACCATAGAAATTATGAAAATGAAAGAATTTATGATAATAACTATAAGCATATGAAAGAAAAAAAATCTAAATTTGTGTATTATAGAATATAGATTGAATATAGAATTAATTCATTAAATTAACATTAATATATAACTAAAACTAATTAATTTAGTTATTTAGTTTTTAACTAAAAAATATCGACTAGAGCTCAAAAAAGAAAATAGAATTCTTTAATTCATTCTAATTCTTTAATCTAATTATATTCATTTAATGTAAAATAAAAATAGTAAAATTGAAAGTTGTGAATTGCAAAGGGTTAAACTCCAATTTTATCTAGAGGTTTTCCCGTAATATTTGTGAGTATTCAAAAATTCTTTTACAAATTTATATTGCCTTGGAGGTGTTAAAGAATGAGCAAATTTAGGATAACCTTTAAGAAATTAAAAAGTTTAATGTTAACTATTAATATTTTTAATGGCCAAAAGCATATTGCTCCTTTTTTAGCACTTCTTAGTCAATATTAATCCCAAAAAAACATAACTTTTAGATATCCATAACTCCTATAACTGCTATATGAAAACTTTTGAAACAAATACAATTGCTAATGATGCTAAAGGGATGTTCATCTACATTTGATTTTAAAAACTAAAATTAAGCATATGCACACATCATACAGAAGCTACTTTCATTGTCAACTGAAGAATAGATTATCCAGCTGAGGAGTAGAGCTAAAGAAAACCAGACCCTTGAACAGCACAATGTACAACTTTGGATCCTATCTGCATAATCAAATAAACTTCATTAGAGAGCTTATTATCACAAAGAGTGTTAGTGTTACTAAAATTTGAGGATTTGTCCTCTGTAAGACACAATTACAAATCCCATTGAAAAAGAAATATAGTCTTTTAATAATTTACATTATCTCTTTTTTACTAGATTAATAAAACAAAAGTTGAACAAGGGAAATTGATGAAAGGAAAGAAAAAATAAATTAATTGTACAGTATGTTCATTTTCTACACAATTTTTGGAACCACAAAAAGATAAGTAGAACCATGAAGATGAAACTATTGTCGATACCATCTCAAATTCTTCAGCATCCCAACGAAAGAAGTGGAACAAATCGATCAAGTTCTTCCAATTCCTTTATGACCACAAAAACACCAAGGATGAGCATCATATGAATAATATCAAACATGAGAAAAAGCTTAAATTTAATACCCTTTGGTATTCCACTTATCTGATTTTTTCTTATAAAGCAAACTTCTGTAGAGCTGCGAGCATCATTAATTACTTTCTTCTTCTTCTTCTTCAATTGATTAGACTTCAAGAGCAATTTCTTCATGAAATCCATTCATCATAAGAATCAATTTGCAAGCTTGCTTTAAGCACAGATAAACTAATGGCCCTGTGTAGATGCAGTTAAGTCTCAACGTGAATAAAACAATGGGTTATTAAAACAGTGTGTGCCGAAAGTTTCATGAAATATTATATTTACGATTGAAAAACAATGAGCTATCAGGCTAGTGTGATTTTCATGTCTAATCAAATGACTTTAATTCCTTATGATGAATGGATAATATTTAAAAAGCCATTAGTTTCACTAGTAGACAAAACGTAACGTTTTAATAATCTTGAAATTTGAGCCTCAAGATATGATGAAACATATAGCTATTTTTTATGTCTCATTAACGGTTGAGATTAAACAATTAAGATAATATAATTTTTTTAAAAAATACGAGTATAAGTATAAAAGGGACCTTACAATTATGCCACAGAAAAAGAACAGAGACATTGTCACATTTCTTCATGATACATGGGTCTGCTTCGTTGGATGCATGCGTTGCGCATAAGATAATGGTACTGAGAAAGCCCATTACTATTGTGTGTTTGGTTGGCTATTGCGTGATAACTAAGCTGATTGAACAAAATGTTAATGTACTTCTCACAAAAGAAAAATTTTAATGTACTAAAAATTACATTGGTCATTAAATCTGCCAAGATAGTTTTAAGGATTAGTGATTTGACTATGATTGAACCAAAATCAACTCATCATGATTGGAATAAAATAATTTAATTAAAATATACACAAACATTCATATATAATTTTGAAGAGTAATATTTGAACAAAAAAGATATTGATCCACAAATAAATGGAATATTCACGTGTCAACGGCCTCTTGACTGAGTGGCGCTGAATGTGCCGTGGGCGGCACGAAAATGCGGGTTTGATCCGCCCGTTTATAATCCAAAAAAGAAAAAGAAATATTCATATATAAACAACATATAATTCCATAAATCAAAGTTGTTAAAGCATATCTGCTGTTTTTTTTTTAACTCAAAACAATATTATTTCAAGATTAATGAGAAAAAAAAAGTAAATTCAACCTGATTCACATATCCAAAACTCTTAACTCTACTAGCTAGGTGAGTCAAGCCTCAGATGGATTCACATCTCTTTTCAACTTTCTTCAATGTAAATTCATAATTATCCTTTAAATAAGTTCATCTTTTAAATGTATTGAACAATCGATCAATTTATTGTTTAGTAAATATATATATATATATATATATATCTTTCAATGAAGCGTTAAGATAATTATTGGTTTATGGAACTCTTTTTCCGTGGTGGCATCAATTTTAACAGTCTTTATATCCAAAAATATTCATTTTATAGTTAATATATTGTTAAACAAACTCATGACTAATTTAAAAAGATAAATTAATGAATAAACAATATCTCTTCCCATAAGCTAACTATCTATTGACCACATTATAATTTGAACGATTTTATTTTTAGAAATTTCATTGATACTTTGTAGTTTGTGTTAAACTAATTAAGCATTATTTAAAGTTATAAACCAATTTAAAGGTAAGCATTTAAAATTATGACAATATATTGTTATTCAACCAATGCATGAACATAAATAGATGCTCCTGAGAAGAAAGTATAAATATTTTTAAAAAGTGACTTTAGGTAATTTAAAACAAAATTTCTTTTACATATATTTATCGGATATATTATAAAACTACTTAAATAAATAAATCCAAAAATATTCTAATTATCATAATTTGGTATTGAGATGAATAGATGGAACATGAGAGATAAATATACTAGATAATTTTTTTGTTTTCAAAATTAAAATTTTTTAATATTTACAAGAATTAATATTTCATTTTTCCAAAGTCATGTCACGTTATCAGGATTATGCCCATAGACCATCGCACGTAGACCAGTGGGGGTCAACAGGTCTTTTGGGCTTTTTTTTTTAATATTTAAATTAAATTTGTGCTCCGCGAAGGATCCATAACAACGTAGGCACAACAACACACCTCATCTCAATTTTCGCCACGTGTAATTTATGCCACATGGCTTTCTCTCATTGGCCCTGTTCTCTCACCCTTCCTGACTCCAATGGGAGCACGTAAGCACTACTCCGGTTCCAGTCAAGCGCCTTATTATCTTAACCCTTCACAGCTTGTGGGAGATTACCGGGAAAGTCACTGCTTTACTCTTTCTCTCCGAATTTTCTCGGCAACCAAACGCCCAGAGTTTTCTCACTGATTGTCTTCCTCAGAATGCGATCTGCACAATATTGGTATAGCTTTTTTTAATCTTGATTTGAGAAATATAGAATGAATGGGATATTATCAATTATTTTATCCATATTTAAGCTCAATTTTAGTTTCGAATTAGGCTGAATTTTTCTTCTTTTGTTTGTGCTGCACAGAACAAGCTGGAAGTGTAAGACAATCCGATTGCATTCCAGAATGGCGTCGATCCTGATGAAGCTTGGGATATTTTTCTCTGTTCTTTTGTTTCTGTTTTCTCCGTCACAATCTGCAGTTTTTAGCGTAGATCTAGGGTCTGAGTGGGTCAAAGTAGCGGTCGTAAACCTGAAACCTGGGCAGAGTCCAATATCGGTTGCAATCAATGAGATGTCGAAGCGGAAATCTCCGGCCTTGGTGTCATTTAATTCCGGTGATCGTTTACTAGGCGAAGAAGCAGCTGGTCTGGTGGCTCGGTATCCTCAAAACGTCTATTCCCAGATCAGGGACTTGATTGGCAAACCGTATAATTTCTCTAAGAAGTTTTTGGATTCAATGTATTTGCCATTTGAAATCAAGGAAGATTCGAGGGGCACCGCGAGTGTCATAGTCGACGCTAATGGCACTGAGTATTCTGCTGAGGAATTGGTGGCGATGGTTTTGACCTATGCTGTTAATTTAGCGGAATTCCATTCCAAAATTCCTATCAAAGATGCTGTAATCACAGTACCGCCTTACTTTGGTCAAGCTGAACGAACTGGGTTGCTTCAGGCAGCACAATTGGCAGGAATTAATGTTCTTTCTTTGATAAACGAGCATTCTGGTGCCGCATTACAGTACGGAATTGATAAGGACTTTTCAAATGAGTCAAGGCATGTCATATTCTATGACATGGGTTCAAGCAGTACCTATGCCGCACTTGTGCATTTCTCCGCGTACCCCAGTAAAGAATATGGAAAGACAGTATCGGTTAATCAGTTTCAGGTAAACGTAATTTGAAGTTTGTGTTGCTAATTCAATATCATATGCTATCCGCGAAGCAACTTTATTTATACATTTTTTTCCTGGCTGAATAATTTATATTTGTTGCTTCGAAGTCACTCGTATACATGATTCATGGTTTTTTCCCTTCGAAAACGTTCCAACATAAATTGTGAAATCGTTCATTCCAGTCACTTGTATTTATAAATTTGAAGGTCATTTAACAGCATGGTTTGTATATGGACAGTTACATCAAGGATGATTGTGGCATTGACATGATTATAATAGTCAAGGTTTGGTGGCATGTCATGAGTAAAAAATCGATATTTGCAGTGAGCAACAAATCATGCGTCGGTATAATGGAAAATAACAACAAACAGAAGTTCAAAATAGTGTGTTATCGTCTAAGAAGAAGTCATCAACGAGTTAATATCTTCAAGGCATTTATTATTTGAAAGACATATTATGAATTGGGGATATTGGAACAAGTATAGAGTGTAGAGAGATTGGATGGCCGTCGCATTTTTTAGTCTTGTTGCCTCTTTTTTCTATTGGCATGTCTATTTTGGAGGATAACATATTCTGCGCCGTTGTTGTACATCTCTATTATTTTTAATGAAACTAATTCCTTTATCAAGGAGATAAAATCTGTATAGATTGATATATTGTTGTAAGAATATCAAATATCTTCATATTTTAATGCTATGGTTGATATGTTTACAATTGCGATTACAATTACAATGACTAAAATTTCTCAGGCATGAAAAGTTAAATGGTTTCCACTATTTGTGTTAAAATATGCAAATGGAGTAACGGAAGACATTTTACTTTCTATTATTATACTGGAATGTTATGCATTATTACATTTTAAGCTTAACTGACTCCTTCGTCATTCTTTTCTATGAAACATAAGAAAATGAAACGACCATGGTTGTGTGTGTTATCATGTCTTCCTCTATTTCGTTTTGATCCTTCTTATTTCACAATGCATGAAGGTTAAGGATGTCTATTGGAATCCAGAGCTAGGTGGTCAAGATATGGAATTGCGATTAGTGGAGCACTTTGCCAATGAATTCAACAAGCAAGTTGGTGATGGATTTGATGTGAGAAAATATCCTAAAGCTATGGCTAAATTAAAGAAACAGGTTAAACGAACCAAAGAAATTCTTAGTGCAAACACAGCTGCTCCAATTTCAGTTGAGTCACTTCATGCAGACACAGACTTCAGGTAGGTGAACTCTGTAGTGTCTCCTCAGCATGTATCATTATCCCAATTTCATTGAAATTCACATTGTAATTTCTATAAATCTCAAAGAAGTTTTGAGAATTGTTCCTACTACCTCTGATTGAACCACAAACTAGATCTTATATTAAGAACCAAAGGTAGTAATAAAAAGATTAAGCCCTTCAATAAAAACCTGTTTATAGTTTTATTACAATCTCTAATCCAAATGGAAGCTGGTAGCTCATGCTTTACAAAACATACTCTGTAGTTTTACAATGATCCTACTACTCTGTAGTTTTTAACATTATGGTTGGCACCATCATGCAAAATATTCTGAAAACAAATGAAGGTGAATGTTTCTTGGAAGACATTTTCAGTTGAGAATACTTTCTTGAGACACTTTATTTGTTGAAAAAAATTGTGGTGAAATAACACATCCTCCTAATTCTTTCTGGTGTTTATTTTGTTTGTCAAGGAGACCATATTGTCTTCGGTAAGAAATACTTGGATTGCCCTTAAAATTAGTTTTTCCTGACTGCAACACACACCCCAAAAAAAAAAAAAGGTTTCATGCAACAAAAAGTGTACCCTTTACTTGACACGGAAAATTAAGACAAATATCATCTAATATATTTATCTCTGGTTGGATGACTAGGGACTTATTTTGTAATTATGCAACTTCAATGTATTATTTAAATGCCACTGCTTTCTCTTTCGTTGGTATACTAAGTGATGAATATAGCATGTGCTTTGATATGATATTATAGTGGAAGATAAATTTCATTAGGCGTTAATTATAAAAAATTTTAAAAGTGGTTCTTGGGATAATGTCACGAAAATTGGGTGCAGCTCTTTGTATTTTGAAATGTGGGTTTGGTTCAGCTTCTGTTGTAAAAGTATCCCTTGGTAACTTTTTGGTTAAAATTTAAAAAAAGAAAAAAAAAAAAGCAAGATAGTAATACAGAATTTTTTACCTTGTCTAATTCATACCCTCCTAGCTCCCTCCTTTTGTGGATATATAAGCTGGCATTGCCAGTTCAGTAAAAATGCCAACACGCCATCTCCTCAGCTTCTTAATTTGAGTTATTCTGCATCTTACTCCTTGAGAGTTTGTGTGCTGAAAAGCTGTATTTTATTCCACAGATTTGTGCGATACATATAGGGAGAGGAGTGATTCAGCATATCGCATGAAATCCTCCAGATTTAATAAGGAAGCAAAACAGGAAATAAATATATTCTGTAATCCCTAATTTAGCGCCTAAGCATCAGGTCTTTAACGGTTAGTAAATCAATATACATAGCTGTAATGATTCTTGGTTTAATAGGATGATTGGGCCTCTCCCTAGGGCCCATTTCTGACACTCCCCCTCAAGCTGGAGAATAGATGTTAATCATTCCCAGCTTGCTAGTCAACTCGTCAAACTTGTTCTTGATCAATGGTTTGGTCATCACATCCGCAATCTGTCTTCCAGAGGGAATGTAGGTTAGGTCGATCACTTTAGCTTCAGTCTTTTCCTTGATGAAATGACGATCGATTTCAACATGTTTTGTTCGGTCATGTTGGACAGGATTGTTTGCAATCTTGAGTGCAGCCATATTATCACACCACATTTTAATTGGTGCATTTATTTCTATACCAAGTTCCCTTAGCGCGTGTACCACCCATATCCCTTCACAAATGCCAAGAGCCAGAGCTCTATATTCAGATTCAGCTGAGCTTCTTGATACAACTGGTTGCTTCTTGCTCCTCCAAGTCACAAGATTTCCCCACACAAATGTACAGTATCCAGTAGTAGAACGTCGGTCATAGATAACTCCTGCCCAATCAGCATCCGTGTAGACTTCTATATCTTTGTCTCCCTCTATGCTGGAGTTTCTTTTTGTACCATCTGTATAGATTTCTACATTTTTCTGTCCACTTTTAGCAAAAAACAGACCTTTACCGGGAGTAGTTTTAAGGTACCTGAGAATTCTTTGTACTGCTTCCATGTGTTCCTTTTGGGGGTTGCTTGCAAACTGACTTACCACCCCTACTGCAAATGAAATGTCTGGCCTGGTATGAGACAAGTAAATTAGCTTCCCCACTAGTCGCTGGTACTATTCCTTGTTAACTGATTTTCCATCAGGTTTGACTTCCAAGTTACAATTGAGCTCCATAGGGGTCGCAGCAGGTCTGGCTCCCACCATGCCTGTTTCTTTCAATAGATCCAAGGTGTACTTCCTCTGAGTCACACAAATGCCTTTTGGAGATCTAGCTACCTCTAACCCGAGGAAGTATCTTAGATTTCCCAAATCTTTTACTTCAAATTTTGCTGCCAATTTCTGCTTCAACGCTGCAATCTCTTCAGGGTCATTTCCTGTCAAAACTATATCATCTACATAGACAATTAGGACAGTGATCTTATAATTAGAACGTTTCACAAACAAAGTGTGGTCAGTTTGACATTGCCTATAACCAAACTCCTTAACAGCCCTTGTGAATTTTTCAAACCAAGCCCTTGGTGATTGTTTTAACCCATATAAAGATTTGTGTAGTTTACATACCTTTCCACGGGTTCCGGGACCTTCTAATCCTAGGGGTATTTGCATGTATACCTCCTCCTCTAAGTCTCCATTTAAAAAGGCGTTTTTAATGTCTAATTGATGTAAGGGCCAGTCCAGATTGGCAGCCAAAGAGAGAAGAATATTTATAGTATTAAATTTGGCTACCGGAGCAAAAGTCTCTTGGTAGTCTATGCCATAGGTTTGAGTAAACCCTTTTGCAACTAATCTTGCCTTATACTTGTTGATGCTACCATCAGGATTAAACTTCTTTGTAAAAACCCATTTACTCCCAACAACAGATTTCCCAGGGGGTAAATTAACTATTTCCCATGTTTGGTTCTTGACTAGAGCCTTTAATTCATCATTAATAGCTGCTTTCCAGTTAGGGTTTGAACTAGCCTCATTAAAAGACTTTGGGATTTCCTCATTATCAAGATTAACCACAAACGCTTTAAATTGAGAGTTAAGCTTATCATAGGAGACATACCTCCCAATAGGGTGTCTAGTGCAACTCCTTTTGCCTTTTCTCAAAGCAATGGGCCACTGTAGATCTTTAGGATTAATCTCAGGATAAGATTCATGACTCTGCCTTGGAATGTTAATGGGTTCTTCTCTGGTTGTTGGCTGTTCTGTTGTGTTCACCTCTGTCTCTGTGGTATGTGACTGCTGGTTTGTCTCTTGGGGGGCTTCAGGTATAGGTTCAGTGTTATTGGGCACTTCTAGAATTGTTTCAGGTCTGTTGGGTGCCATGTCAGGGGTGTGTGGTGTTTCTATAGGGGCTGCTGGTGATGCTAGGGTACCATTACTGTTTTGATTTCTTTGCTGTTCAGGTTGTGTGTCACTAGTATAGTTACTATCAGGACAAGTTAGCTATTCATTAGCTCTCTCCCCCTGAATGGGTAATTTGGGGTTAAAGGGTTGTGATTCCATAAATTGAACATTCATGGTGACATAGACACGTCTAGTGGTAGGAGAATAGCACTTGTAACCTTTTTGGGAGGAAGAGTAACCTAGAAAAATACATTTAAGAGCTCGAGTATCTAATTTGCCACCATCTTCATTAAACACAAAGGCTGTGCAACCAAAAACTCTTTTAGGGAGATGGTTGAGGAGGTAGGAATTGGGATAGTTTTCTAAAAATTTATCAATTGGGGTTTGAAACTTTAGTACTTTGGAGGGCAGCCGATTGATTAAATAGGTGGCAGTGAGAACTGCATCACCCTAGTAAATATTGGGAGCATTACTCCCAATTAAAAGTGAGCGAGCAACTTCTAAGAGGTGTCTATTCTTCCGCTCAGCTATCCCATTTTGCTGTGGTGTGTATGTGCAAGAAGTTTGATGATGAATCCCTTTTTTAATAAGAAAATCTTTAAATTTTGTATTCACATACTCCTTTCCATTATCACTTCGAAAAACTTTTATAGAAACATTAAATTGAGTTTGAATGAAAGCGTGAAAGTGCTTAAACAGTGGAAAAACTTCTGATTTGTCTTTCATTAAAAAGAGCCATGTGAGGCGTGTATGGTCATCTATGAAGGTAACAAACCACTTGGCCTTGGAGTTAGTTTCGATTCTAGAGGGTCCCCAAACATCACTATGAATGAGTGTAAAGGGAGTAGTAGGAGTATAGGGGTTCGCTGGATAGGAATTTCGTGTCTGTTTAGCAAAGTGACAGGTGTCACACTGAATTTGAGGAGATATTTTATTCATGAAATTGGGAAACAGGATTTTCATATAATCAAAGCTAGGATGGCCTAAACGGTAATGCCATAACATTATTTCATCACGGGACACAGCAGCATTGTTTGGAGTCACATGAATAGCAGAAGTAGCAGTAGCTAGGGGGCTTTTATTTTTCAGGTTCCCTTCAAGGTAGTACAGCCCATTACATTCTTTAGCTTTGCCAATCAGCTTGCCCAAGACTAATGAAAGACACAATGAGATTTATTAAAACCAACTAGGCAGTTTAATTTATCAACTATGCACTGTACTGACAGTAGGTTGCAGTGTATATCAGGCACATAAAGTACATCATGAAGAATGCTATCAGTAGATAGAATTACAGTGCCAGATCCCATAACCTTTGCATATTCATTGTTTGCTACCTGCACACGGGAATGCTGTGAATATGAACTAAATACAGAAAATAGTTCTTTAAATCCAGAAACATGATTAGTAGCTCCAGAATCGACCACCCAGATATTTTTTGAATTAGTGACTGTTCTAAGTGCAGTTAGAAGTTCTGTACCTGTATGAGCCAAGGAAACAGTTGGGGTATCCTCACTTAGCTTTTCATGGGAGTATTTGTCAAGGATTTTTCTCAGTATTGCAAGCTCCTCATGCTTTAGGATTTCACTTTCATTGGGGGTGTTACTAGTTAGAAGTCCTTTACCTTCTCCCTTAGGCCGTGGCTTCCAATTGGCTGGCTTGCCATGGATCTTCCAGCATGTGTCACGGGTGTGGCCATTTTTGTTGCAATGGTCACACCTTAGGGACTTCTTTCCCCTTGTGTCTCCACCTTGGTGGTTGGTTCTAGTCACCATGGCCGAGCCTTCAGTTATGGTTGATGGGGAAACCAAAGATGGATTTTGAACCAGTGCTTTCCGGCTCTCTTCATTCTTAATCATATTGAAGGCATCTTCCAGTGATGGAAGGGGCTTATTGCTCATTATTCTTCCCCTGATATCTTCAAAAGAATCGTTAAGGCCAAGAAAAAAATCATAACATCGGTCTCAGTCTATTACCTGCTTGAAGTAGACTTCATCTGTATGGCAGGACCATTTGTGTACTTCATAGAGATCTATTTGCAGCCACAATCGCACCAGGGCACTGTAGTACTGGGTGACAGACTTCTCCCCTTGAGTGAGGCTGCGTAGCATGCGTTTGAGTTGGAAAATAGCTGCTGTATTTTCCTTAACAGAGTATGTCCGCCTTGCTGATTCCCATATTTCTCGTGCGGAACTAGCAAGTAGGTAGTTTTCGCTAATTTCAGGAAGCATGGAATGAACAAGCCATGTCATTACGGTGTTGTTTTCTGCACACCATGTTTCATACTGTGGGTCCTCGGTTTTTGGTGGCTGAGGGTTCCAAGTAAGGTATTTTTCCTTGTTTCTTCCACGCACAAACATGAGAATATTTCTGGACCACTGGAGGTAGTTGTTGCCATTGAGGCGGTGGGATATAATCAGTTGGGACAAGGAATTTGGTCCAGATCCATTTGGTGCACCTGAACTAGTTGACCGCATCTCTTCTGACTGGGTCATATTCTGGGGTGCAGTTGTCACTGAGGTGGACTCACCCTCAGCTGTAAAAGCTCTGGAATTTCGTGTCAGAGCTTCTTTGAAAGACATGAGTGGTAGCACTCTGATACCATGAGAGTTTGTGTGCAGAAAAGCTGTATTTTATTCCACAGATTTGTGCGATACATATAGGGAGAGGAGTGATTCAGCATATCGCATGAAATCCTCCAGATTTAATAAGGAAGCAAAACAGGAAATAAATATATTCTGTAATCCCTAATTTAGCGCCTAAGGATCAAGTCTTTAACGGTTAGTAAATCAATATACATAGCTGTAATGATTCTTGGTTTAATAGGATGATTGGGCCTCTCCCTAGGGCCCATTTCCGACACTCCTCTTGTTTTTCTGCACTAAGATTTAAGTATTTGGCTAATGATCAATTTGGAATATACTCCTCCGGTCCTTAATAGAGGACCCAATTTTTGAGTTGGTTTCGGTCCTAAATATAAGACCCATTTCTCATATTTATCAATTTTCTCTAAATTACCCCTATAGATATTCCCTCAACCATAATTAAGTAGAAGAGGAAGATGGGGTATTAATAAAGATGGTTGTGGTGTTCTAGGAAAAATGTGTTACTTTTCTTATAATTAACTAATTTACCTAACTTTCTTGATGTAATCAAATTAGTTAAATGGGTCTTATATTAAGGACCGGAGGAGTATTTCAGTTTAAATGTTTATGTATTTTTGTTCATCAAAGTCTTGTTTCCTTCCAGGAGTACTATTACCCGTGAGAAGTTTGAAGAGCTCTGCGAGGATATCTGGGAAAAATCTCTTTTGCCTGTGAAAGCATTGCTTGACAATTCAGGCTTGGCAGCTGACCAAATATATGCAGTGGAGTTGCTAGGAGGTGCCACCAGAGTTCCCAAATTACAGGTTTAAATTATTTCATTCCTTTCTATTACTATTTTGCTAATTGTTGTGAGTTATTCTCACTAACTAGTCAATTAACTTAGTCAGCAGTTGCTGACTAGGCAAGGCGATTGGGTTCTATACTTGCGTAATCAGCAACTGCTAACTAATTCATCTGACTAGTTAGTTAGAATTAATGGCCATTTAGGCAAGGGTAGGATTATTTGATATATAAGCCCGAACTTTTGAGCTCTCTGTATTAGCATATCATCTAAACACAATAAGTTTTCCGTATGCTATGATTTTGAATATAGAAGTTAATCTCTGTAACGCATAACTCCATGCAGAAATTTCAGTTATTACCATTTAATTTGCTTTAGTGTTGGATATTGTTTTGGTTTAATTAATATGAACAGTTAACTTGTCATTGGTGCCTTCATGAGATAGCTGCTAAGTATTTTACAGAAAAAGCAAGTGAAAGAGCAAAGCTCTCTTGTTAGCAAGAAGACTTTATGGAGAGATAGGTGTTAATGAAAATGACTAAATTTATATGTTAATCATCTCTTTGACGTAGTTTGGAAGACATATCTGTTGTATAACTATTGTGACTAGAAACTGCAGGAATGGTCTTTAATCTGTCTCAGATGATCGAAAATTCCGTCATATGCAGCATTACCTCATCACTTATACTAGTAGTGTTTTGGTAATGAGCCCAAAATATGCCATTTTCTTGAATTCCTTTCATTGTAGGCTAAGCTTCAAGAGTTCTTTGGGAGGAAAGAACTTGACAGACATCTTGATGCCGATGAAGCTATAGTTCTAGGCGCATCACTGTACGCTGCAAATTTAAGCGATGGAATTAAATTGAATCGGAAGCTTGGAATGATTGATGGTTCAATGTATGGATTTGTGGTTGAGTTGAATGGCCCTGATCTTTTGAAAGATGAAAGTACCAGGCAGTTACTTGTACCACGACTGAAAAAAATCCCAAGCAAGGTAAATCGAATAGGATTACAGTCATATTGCATGTGACAGCATGTTATAGAGCTCACAGTGATTAGTAGCTCTCCAACTCAGCTAATAATCCTTAGTTACTGTTTCCTGCTTAACAGATGTTCAGATCAATTATCCATAACAAAGATTTTGAGGTTTCACTAGCTTATGAGAGTGAAAATCTTTTGCCACCTGGCATTACCTCTCCTGAAGTTGCTCAATATCAAGTATCTGGTTTGACAGCTGCAACGGAGAAGTAAGTATAAACAACTTTATTAATATGGATATAATTGCTGCTTTAAGCTTCTTTAACGTATAATTTGCAAACCATGGTTTGATAGTCTTCTACGTCTAATTTTCACTAATTCTGTAGGTATTCATCTCGGAATTTGTCCTCTCCCATAAAGGCAAACCTGCATTTCTCTTTGAGTAGAAGTGGAATCCTTTCTTTGGATCGGGCAGATGCTGTTATCGAAATAACAGAGTGGGTGGAAGTTCCTAGAAAGAATCTGACCGTAGAGAATTCTACTTCAGATTCTTTGAACTTGACATTGGAAACTGGTGGTAGGAATAGTTCCGAGGAAAACAGTGGAAAGTTACATACTGATGGGGAGGTTAGCAAGACTTTGAATACAAGTGCAGAGGAGCAACCTGCCACAGATTCTGGTACAGAGAAAAAGCTGAAGAAGCGAACCTTTAGGGTCCCATTGAAGGTTCAACCTAGCTGACTTTGTTAATCGTTTAAAACAGTTGGTAATTTAAAAACATTATATGGAACTTCTTAGCATATTTACACTTTTGCATAAATTTCGAACTGCATTCCCAGATTGAATCAAAGCTAGTGGGACCTGGAATGTCTCTGTCAAAAGAGTTTCTTGCTCAAGCTAAGGGCAAATTAGAGGCACTGGACAAGAAAGATGCAGAGAGAAGAAGAACAGCAGAACTGAAAAATGACTTAGAAGGATATATATACGCAACTAAGGAAAAGGTTGGTGGACAATATGCGAATGGTTCCAGTTTCTTTTAATATTTTTGTTTTGGGTGATACAGGGGAGTTTTTATAACTTCACCTTTTGTATGCTATCTCACTTTTTTTCATTTTTATCACGTGAAATTTCTAATTTTCTTCTAATTAATTTCAATTGAAAGGCTCACTTGTTACTGTTTATTTAGTTTTATGTACATTGAGTATCATAAGGTCACCCTTGGGAAGGGGGGAAAAATTTGTCAAAGGGAAAATAGGAATTTACAATAATGAGGCATGAGCAATTCTCAGACAATAAAAGTCTTCCTTAATCTCTTGCTGTTCACCATTGACTTTTGTTTTGTAAGTTATCGTCACATTTATCACCAAGAATTCTTTGTATAACTCTTATTACCTTTTTGAAGTTTGTTAATAATTAAACGACTTAGCTATACACATAATACTTCTAATACTGCTCCTCTTTGTACTAGATTGAAACTTTGGAGGATGTTGCAAAAGTTTCTACTGATGATGAACGCCAATTGTTTGTTGAGAAGCTTGATCAGGTTCCACTTTTTTCCTTGGATAATTCTTTTTTATTTTTCTCTGTATGAGATTTTTGACTTAAGCTTCTTCCAATGCGTCAGGTGCAAGATTGGTTGTATACAGATGGAGAAGATGCCAATGCTACAGAGTTTGAAGAGCGTTTAGATATGTTAAAAGCAGTAGGTGATCCAATTTTTTTCAGGTATGTCGTTTTCTTAGTAAGGGGCTAGTTTTGTTGATTTTTGTTCACTATGCTTTTATAGCATGTTGATGTTGTCTAAACCACTTAGCATCTTTTACAGATTGAAGGAGCTTACATCTCGACCAGCAGCAGTTGATCATGCTCGAAAATACCATAACGAGCTGCAACAGGTACCTTTACCAGCCTTCTAGTGTATGTGATGATTGAAAGTTATCTTAGTTTAATTTGATACGGTAGTATCTGTTTTGCTTCAAAAATATTCTTAGTGATTAGTGATTAATGTTTCCATGTCCGAGAGCCATCAATGCCCTATATTCTGTGTGTGCATGTAGCACGCCCTTTTCCCTTTAAAATAAAAATAGGCCCATGGTTCTTGTTACTTGTCAAGCCCCATTGGTGCTTGTGTGTGAATTGAAAGTCAGGTTGTTGATAAAACTGGACGCCTGGTCTGGCAGTTTATGAGCTTGATTAGCCGTCCAGTTCATATGAATTTGAAGCATCATGCTTTGGCTTCTGCAATATGCTGTATGGTGATATAACTAAATGTTGTTTTCTGACAAATGCAGATTGTACAACAGTGGAAGACAAATAAGTCTTGGCTTCCAAAGGAAGAAATAGATGAGGTATTTGATTTATATTGATTGTGCCTTTTGGATTCTGTGGACTTGAGCGCATGAAAGTGATGCTTACATTAAACTATTTTGTTCTCTGGTTGCTAGGTTGTAAAAGATGCTGAAAAGTTAAAGAATTGGTTGGACGAGAAGGAAGCTGAGCAGGCTAAGTAAGTTCCTGTTATTTTATTCATTTTTTAGTCTTTTTTCCTTGATAAATAGTGCATTGAGTATGCATTATTATAAGAAATTTTTACGGCATTTATGTAAACACATGTATATGCACTGTTTTATGATATTATCACTGTTTTATTCTTCTTCTTGTACGTGAAGCATCCTTTTATTCAAACGAGAAAATTCCAGACATGCCCTTGTTTGTATCATCACGATTAAATGCATATCGCATGCTTGTGTCATACTTAATGCTATTAAATATAGTTGGTGAATCTCTAGAAGCACTACCCTTCTCTTTTATTTTTGAGGTAAAAAGACCAAGTAGCCTGCATAATTCAGGCGTACATTTTCCTTTCTGAGTTCAAGTACCCATATTCTAAACATTTTCAAGGATTTGAATTAGTCTACCTCTTACATAGCACTTACTGCTCCTTTTAGATTCTGGGCCTGCTGAGGAAGTCAGTTTTCTTACGATATCTTCGATTTATTGAGTTATTAATTTCTAATTCTGCAATTCTTTTGATGTGGTGAAGGACTTCTGCGTTTAGCAAGCCAGCATTTACTTCCGATGAAGTATATCTGAAGGTGTTTGATCTGCAAAGCAAGGTATCGTCTCTTATCTTTCATGATTAGGAATGGATTATGGCATTGGCATGTGATTCAAAGTCCTTGGAAGATCAGTGCTGCTTTAGTTGAGTTTTCTCTGTACCTCCACAGGTTGCCAGGATCAATAGAATCCCCAAACCCAAGCCTAAAATCCAGAAGCCTACAAAGAATGAAACAGAGAGCAAGAACAAAACTGACACTGCAAACTCCACCTCAACAGATAGCTCTCCCCAAAGCGATCAACCAGCAAACGAAAACTCAGAAGCTCATGATGCTCCCCAACGCGATCAATCAGGGGAGAAAACGGAAAGCTCAAGAAAAGAAGTGGTTGATGAGCAACCTCAAGCTCATGATGAATTATAGATTGAGCCTTTTTTTTTTTTTCCCCTCTCTCCAGGCAATGCATGTAGGCCTAGATCTAATCTTCTACCTACCAGATTTGAAGTATAGACTGGCAATGGTAAAACAAGGGAAGATGCAGCAATATCAGTCTTCGGTGCGTTTGAGAATAGAGTTTCAACGATATCGCATGCTGGATGATTGCTCGTCATTTTTGGGGTTAGTTCTAGGAATTGGTCCCTATGGGGATTTTTTACAACCATTTGAATGAGTTATATTTGGCGAACCACTTTAGGTTATATAGAGAATACCAATTATCCTTTTGCAGACATACAATGGGATAGAAATTTTGCTAGGGCCAGTTCCCTTAATAGCTTCAAAGAAATTATGTTCTATTATATTTAAGTATGAATTTTTACTCCATTGTACGTTATAGGTTTCTAATTTTACCACTTCGTGTGATGTGGGCCATGTTTAAACCTGAGAAGATAAATTATGCCACCCTTCAATCTGCGATCCTGCGTTGTGCATTTATTTTCGATGAATAGTTGAACACTATGTTGCCATGGATGATTATAAGAAGTTAATATCATTTTGTTTTTGAAATTTAAAACAAATATCTCATTTTAGGTGTCAATTGATCTAGTTTCTATAATCTCCTTGTTTTCTGTTGTTTGACCATATCATAATCTTTCATTAGAAAAAAGTGCAAAATAATAAAATGAAAGCAACTTTTTCACAAGTTTCTCTTTACATGTTTTTTAGTTTTTTGTTTTTGGGCCAAAGTATGCATAATTCTTAATTTTAGCCCTCTTACATATAACGTCCATCATCTTTAAAAATAAGAGAGGTTCTATGTAAGAGATCTGAAGCTAAGGGAGTCGTGTGTATTTTGGCTTTGGGAGGAATTGCAAGTAGAACATATATAATGAAGTCAGTTACACGTGAGGTCCCCAAATTTTGCACACTACTTCCAAATAAATACCTTAACTTACAAATGACACTCATACTGAGCATTTTAAGGATAATAAGTTGAAAATTCGCAAGCTTTTTAATAAAAATAAGGACACAAGTCACACTAAAGAAATTTATGAATAGCACTACTTTCAAATTTAAAATTCAATCTCAAGAGAAGACTTTCTTTTAGAAAAAGACAGGGTCTCTCTATTATTTGTTATTTATTCCATTATATGGTCCCCATTTGTAATTTCTCCCTTTTTGGTTCTAAACATGATACCCACGATCCCCATATATGAAGGAAATAGCTTTCTATGAAAATATTTAAAAGAAAATTTTAAAAAAATTAACACACTTTTTATAAATAATCAATATAACTTTTTTTAAAATTTCTGCGAATTAGTAAAATAACTCCTTCATTTAAAAGCAGTGAGAGTAAGTATTACGCTGGCCGTATTCCAGTGAAGCCAGCTATATATGATTCATTGAGATAGCAGAGAATAGGTGTAAGTAGAGACATATATTTATTACAGTAAGGAAACACAAGCTGGATTGACAAAGTCAGAAAGTGAAGAAAATGGGAAAAAGCGAAGCAACAGGTAAGCAGCACATGAAGAATTTCATGAAATGGGGAAGTAACAGGGGGCCTGCAGTAATATTAAATGATGCAACAGTTTGTAACTTAAAAATGGTGAATAATAATATTTGTGTGGCTTTTTTGTGAAATCATTACAAATATTAATAATAATATATTATCATCATCATTATTATTATTATTATTCACAGTCATCACATTGTGACTTTGTCTGTTGTTGTTGTTGTAACCTTTTCTTTCTCTTCTGCAGAAAACTGTGAAGAGATTTCTTGAGAGAGAGGCCTCCTCCATGAACACAACCTCCTCCACTCATCAACGCTTGAGATTGCACCCAAAATGATGATGTTCCTGCTCCTGTACCTGATCCCTCCATTCCCCTACTTGCCAGCCATATTATCACTCTTGCCTACAATAATTATTAACAAAATTAGAAAACAAAAAAAATTTGGCTTGTTTTGTGATTAAGGATATTAAGGGAGAAGTTTGTGTGGTTTTAATAAAATTCAAAGAAAACATGTAATTATCGTGAAAATATAGAATAATAATTATGCTCACTTCGATTATAAATGTAAAAGTTAAATTACTAATTTACAGATATTAAGCTAGTTAATTATTCTTAAAAAAGTATGTGTTAGTTTTCATAAAATATCCACTAATTATTTGCATGGAAAACTAACCCATTATTGAAACCAAGACAATATAATTTTCTCCACAAAGTGGATTGATACCTTACATTTAGTTATTAACTCCTATATTTAGTTAGTTATTCGTCAAAAAAAAATTATGGGTTAAATTTCATAAAATATCTCTTAAAAACTAACCAATTATTGAAAACTCCCAGGTACGCAATCAATTTGGATAATTTGACAAAAAAAAGTCATAAATTTGCCCCCACAAAGTAGATTAAAGTCTTACACTTTATACCAAAAAAACTCCTTAACTATTTATTTTAATAAAAATTAAGTAAAATGTACATTATCTAACAAGAAAACAAACAGAAAGCATATATCACTCCTAAACAAATTACATGAGGCACATATATTTGTTTATGTGTGTGTGTGAGAGAGAAAGAGAGGAGGAGAGATAGAGTTCATCCTGAAATTTGTAATATCTCGTACTCTTCATCAAAAGTCATTATCAATACATATCACTTCGTTTTTCAAATTCTGTATTATTTCTGCGGGATTTTAATCAGTACCTGAAACTCAGTAACATCGATGAAGCAGTGGCGTCCACTGTGAAGAATCTGGGGAGGATGGTGTTGTTCTGTGATGTCCAAAGGCTCATCACTATTAATAAAATTCCGTTTCAGAATTTTCTCAGAAAATTATAATAAACGATGATGAGAAAAATCAGTCAATATATCAACCGTCTCATGGAAGAACAACAAAGAAAAGAAACTATGCTTACATTGAATTGCCAGGACGATTAGTACGAGGTTGAAGGCCAAGCTCCAACTCACAGTTTCGCTTCATCCTCACAAATTTCGACGATCTTCTCAAAATAAAACCTTTGAAACTGAAAACCCAGAGAGAGAGAGAGTAATGGAAGAGATAATACACTTTGAAGGGTCTCTATATAAGTGTCAGTTACGTTGGGGCGACAAAAGAACAAACCAAAAAAAAAAAAAAAGACTGAGTTAAGATACTTGACCTAGCACGTGGAAAATGAGTTACATATGTGCCACGCTTCAATATTCCAAGCCTTTTTTTTTTTTTAAAGACACCTTTCAACTTATATATACTTCTCTGATCCTATTTATAAGGCACTTTCAACATGTTTCACACAGATCAATGAAAACTCTAAACTTCATTAACTTTCATTTAAATTTTAATGACTTTCTGACTTTATCCCTATTTAATATGCATTATACCTCATATAAACAAAGTCAATACAATAATAAATGAGAGGTAAATTTGTACATCCATACAAAAAGTTTCTCTCAGTGCCTTATAAATAAGACCAAAAAATACATTCTCTCTCTGTCTTATAAATAGGACCAGAAGAGTATATATATATATATATGTATGTATGTATGTATGAGTCCTATGTTTATGGCTTCTGAATAGGATAGTTTGTTATAGATTAGATCTTTTCATTGATAATGATTACTGTTTATTTTGTAAAAGCAAAATAATATATATAAAAAACACTAATGATATTTATACCTAGTAGAATCCGTCCAAAATAACTTACAAATTAGGCAAGTTTAGGTGTTCATCAATGTCATACTGATGAGGAATCCTCCCGAACATAACGAATTAATGTTTAAATTTCTATTGAGATAAATGACTGCATTTAGTATTTTTAGTAGTTTTTAAAATTACGACCTATTTAATCTTATGAATGTGACAATGTTATATTCATTCAAAATAGTAACTAAATTTTATTTTTTTTAATGTTGGCAAAATTCAAATATAATTTTAAAAAAATTGCTCAATTTAGGAAAAACATAGGATGACCATATGCAAAGATAAAAATTATAAATAAATTAAAAAAGCAGAGGATTTTGTGGCTCAGAGAGATCGAGCGGTTCATGTTTATACTATAAGTTTAATAATTATGGGTAATTTATCTCAGTATCTTTATGAGTGGATGTGAATTAGTGATGGTGAAAGCTCAAAACAGGAAATTGAGTTCGTTGTCGTCACGTGGGTTTTTAATAAGATGCCAACTGCCACTGTTTGGTCTCTTAAAGTGGGAAGCTTTCCATTTTAGGAAAGTAGGTTCTTTCAATAGTGACTTCTCACCGTCCACTTGCATGCTTTTGTCTTCTCTCTATGCTTTTCTTTCTCTCTCCATCCCTATAATTAATTAAATAATGTTGCCCCCATTTAAAAAAAAAAAGTTTGGCAAAAAAAAAGAAATGAAATTTAAAGGAAAACTTACATTTAGAGACCCGAATCTTAAATAATTAAATAAGAAAAAAATTAATAAATAGCCTATTTTATCAAACAAAAGGTTTGTAATTGTCATCATTTTCCCTCAATTTCTTTTGTGTGTGGTTACATGCAGAAAGCGCAAAAGAAATCATCCTACAACGCACATATTCCTTAATTTAGAAGTGATTAAGGTTTTCCTATTTAGTTTAGAAGCTTTTACAAATATGATACTCCAAATTTAAACTAATCATTGTTTAAGCTATCCGTTCTAAGAGAATAATATCAAATCTTTTGTTATAAAGTTTGCATTTCTTCTATGTAATTTGTGGCTTCAAAATGCCCCAAATGACGAGAATAGTTAGGTTGCAAGAGTCATTAATTTGTCTATTTAATAGCCGGACAATACTTAAATTAAGTTATTTATATATATTAAGCATCCAACCACACATGGTCTCACCTATTTTTTTATATGTGAATTTACAGCCTAATGATAATATTTAGAAAAATATGATATTATTTATGGTCCTAATTATAAATCTTGTCTATAAACTATAAACAGAGTTTTATAATTAAAATCAGGGGTAGTACATAGTCATGTATGATTTGAGAATTTGATATAATAGACATAAAAAATTTGACATAAGTATTGTCTTTAGTAGCTAAATTTATTGCATCAATAAATCATATATTCTATTAGGGGAAAAAAAGTCAAGAACCCCCTATGAAATCATTAATTTATTTAATTTATTAATTAACCTATTCAAATTAGTTAAATAACTCTTATATTAAAATTAAATAAGGATATATATCATAATATAAAATGGGTCGCATATTTATAGAATTTGATTCAAAAGTTTTTTTTTTTTCAAACTAATACAAAAGTTCTCTTTTCCCCCTTAACGGGGGTACAAGAGTTGTAAGAGGAGAGGGAGTATTTATTAATTAATTAAATAGCATTAATATGGAAGTTGAACAATATTTGACATCATGAAGATTCAAGACCATCAATACGGACAATGAACGAAAGGGATGTCCAAGGTAACAAAATTGCCACCTATCACATGCATGTCACGTGCCACGTGCCACGTGGGATGGATTCCCTCTTGAAAAGGGTGGGCATGATGTAATCAACCATGTGATTAATATCCCTCATACCCACATTCTTTGCTACGTGTCGCCTCTCCATTGGCTGCCCATGTTCCCGTTTGTTCATGGCGGGAGAAAGTAAGAGGGGACCTCAATGTTTTTGTGAGGTCTTCCAGCAAGTATCAGTCTGTCACATGATTGATCTGGTCAATAATGCTACCTCTCGTACTTTATATAAAAATTAATTGGGAGTTAAATTTGTTTTTAAATATAAAATTTTAATATATTTTGTTTTCCATCTTTTTACAAGATATCCATATTAATTGTAACGGTTTCCACTAGAGAATAATTCTAATCATCTGATGCACATAATTAAAGAGAACAGTTTTAAGATATCAACATACATTTGTAACAAATAACTAATTTAACTAAATTTTTAATATCTCCAAATTAGTTATCTAGTTCTTGTACTAAAGACTAGAGATAGTATCATGTTATTAGTGTTTATCTTTTTATTTCAAAAAAGGGACAAATTATTCTGTTTGGCTAGCTAGAAGGTGGAAAATGAATTAAAACTCGAATCAGACCGGATGGTGCTGTGTTTTGAAAGAGTTAGAATATGATAATACTAGGGAGAATTAACATGAGGTCTCAAAGAAAAAAAATTAATTACCAAAAAATCCTAATAACAAATGACCAATCTTAATTTGTTGTCATTTTCTATTTTAAAACTCATCATTACATGCTCTTTGATTATCAGTAGACTTTAGGGTAATTAAATCCTTTTTTTCAGACCTGATTATGATTATGCTAATATTTAATTTGTTGTAATGATGGTAATTGCAATCAAATAATATCCAAAAAAAATCTAAAATAATGAATATTTAAATTGTCTAAAATTTGAATTTGCATATTTTTTTTCAAAATAAAAAGGCCGTAGAAAATGTGGAGCCACTAGCTAACTTTAAAAAAAGAAAAAGAAACTTAAAACTGAAAATTTTTTTTGAGAGAGTGGTGTTGTGTTTTGTAAGAAGGATATCCATAACGATAGTTTTAATATTTATTTGGTGAACTTGGCACACCAAAAAATGGGTAGAAGGGTTAGCTATTTGATACTTTAAAAACACAAACAAACACATGCGCATGATTGGAGTATATGATAAATTTTGAAGGAAAGAGAAGAAGAAGTAAAAGAGAATGTGAAAGATGTGTGAAGCGTGAAGTTGTATGGAAAATGTGTGATTTCCTAATGTGGAAACTGAAACGTATTTATGAGAGGGAAAATGGTTATGTCTTCAATGTGTTACCATTTTATGGCAATCCGAATATTGTCGATGACTTGCCCTATAATTTTCACCCTCCCATGTGATTTATAATAAAGTGCCTGCTTTGTTATTTGGTGGATATATATATATGGTACAGTCATTTACTTCCATGTATGTATGTTATTTTTTTGTAATATACTTGTTACTTTGAACATTGAAATTACTGTAAAAAAAACATTGAAATTTAATTGCATGGAAAATTTAAACTTTTAGATTCGTAAATGGACCAGTAAACTCTGTATTAATTAATTATATCTATGAAGAGAATGACTATCCACAGATTATTTTTAATACTAGTTATTTAATAATTCATTAATGTTGTAGCCTATTTGTGTGTATTTTGAATGCTTAGACTAGAATTACTATCCATATTCTTCAATTATTTCAATACTTTTTATGATGAAATTGTACTCTCTTTTTTTGGGTGAGAAACTGTTGGTTAATGGTTGTGATTTGGATTAAGAATATTTCTCCAGCTCTCTTGGCACATGTATTACTTTCACATAATGAAAAGGAACCCAAAAAAAAAAAAAAGGTGATTTTATTGATAAACGGGGAAAATGCCAATGAAAATACCTTGAACTATCAAAGATGCAATTTAGGATCTGAATTTGCATAATACCAAATTGAGATATGAGTAGTAATTTAAAAATAATTGATAACTCTTGTTTTTTTTTTCCCATCTAACATTCTTACTCAGACAAAGGAGCTTATAGCGTGCTGGTTTCTTCCCATAAAATATTGTGACATGAGAATTTAGAATGAAAGGATGGGAGGAACAGGACATTATTTGAAAACAACAGGATAATAAGAAACAAAGGAAATTGATGAAAAACTAGTGAGAGCATGTACATAAGCATACCCTTCCATTTGAGAACTGGACAATCCAATTCAACAGATGGCGTGAGGGGAGGATGAGGAAGGAGAGTAAGGCTGTGAGTGGGAGAAAGGGCGAGAACGATGTAGGAAATAATGAGGGGTAAGGAGGTCTTTTTACAAGATCTGCAAATTCCAAATTAGTTCTCATCTCTCAATGTGATATTAATAAAAGTAGAGCAATAGGCGAGTTGGACAGCCTGTGCCCTAACCCGTGGCCTGTCCGTTTAAGATTAATAGGTACGGCACAACCCGCCTTGTAATGAACCCGTTTAAAACCCATTTAAACCAGGTTGGAATAAATAG